TTGCGTACATTCACATGTTGGTTATGTGCCTCCTATCTAACCCTGGGAGAGATAGATTTTTCTCTTCGTCATAAAGCGATCTTAAATCCATTAAGAAAGGCAGATTTTCGGGAAATGCTGTCACTACCAATTGGCTATGACCCGCTTACGTATAATAATATAGGGGGGGTTCACGTCTTACCTAAAAGTCTGAAAGGTGCACAGCGGTGGCGTATTGAAGGCCTGTGACCGAGCATATTCAATAGGCCGTGCTTACGTCGCAGAAAAACTGGGACATCTATTGTAGTGTCCCAACGTTAGTTGTTGAACGTTTTACATATTGATCTTTAAGAGCCTGCTGTGTGGGAGGACGTTGAGGCACATGAAGCTAGGCACATGATCGCGTCAGCTGATTTCTTATAATAAAAGAAACGTTGGAATACCGTTGGGTAGGGCAAAAGAGAACTTTTACAGTTGCTTGACGGGCTACGTTGGAGAAACACTGAAATCAGTTTCAGGGGTTAGCTGCACACACAACGCTAAGAGAAGCCTGAGGTAAATAGTAAACAATGCCGCAGTAATAATGGTAGGTTGAGACTGACTTGTTATTTACCTTGTGTAGAATTTTCCTAGGATAACTATTTTGCCGATACGGCTGGACCCTGAGAAGTGACGCGGACCTCCCTACAAGGGGTGGTTTTCCCTGTCACTACTTATGCTCCCAGAATGGCACCGGACCTGGTCAGTCTGTCGAGTGGTCAGTTAACTTAATCAATATATTTGCATGATGTTACAAGAGGGAAGGGGGGTAGGTGGTGAAAAAGACTGGACTTACATAACGACTACATTGACGACTTTGTAAGCATTATTTAGGCGTGTCCAAAAGCTCACAGTACTTCTATAAACTTCTTCCAAAGTTTGCGAGGTTTAACCTGATAGTTAGTGTCGTAAGTATTGGCTGCAGCAGAATCCGATGGTAAAAGAAGCAAAGTAACATTTTAATAGATTGATTTAACGTATAGGAACCCAGGCTAGGCTGTCGACTACAGGTAATCGCTTGATTGAAATATTATCAGCAAGTTTTCTTTTTGTAACATTTGCGTGAGGTAGCAATCATAGATTATTGCGGAGTCAGTGTATTGAAGAAGGATCTTAGCAGAGAAACAAACCAGGATGTAAGTGTTGATAAAAAGCCGTTTATTCCAGCCCTTTAGATTTAGAGCGGTCACGAGACATCGATAACAGGAGTCCTAGAGTAAAGGCTTTGTGCTGGAAATAAGAGTGAGGCGGGGGGGGGCAGTCAGACAGTCAGGTGGACAGCATCAGATAGAGAGAGCATAAGAGAGACTGACGGACAGCCAGAGAGAGAGAGAGAGAAGAAGAAGAAGAAGAAGAAAAAGAAGAGAAAGAAAGAGACAATAAGAGAGACTAGCGGGCAGCCAGAGAGAGAGAGAGAGAGGGGGGGGGGAAGAAGAAGAAAAAATAGAGAGGCCATAAGAGAGACTGACAGACAGCCAGAGAAAGAGAGAGAGAGGGGGGGGGAGAGAAGAGAAAGAGAAAGAGACCATAAGAGAGACTGACGGGTAGGCAGAGAGAGAAGAAGAGACAGAGAGACACCGTTAAAGAGACTGACGGTCAAGCTGAGAGGAGAATAGAGAGAGAGAGAGGAAGAGAGAAAGTGGATAAAAAAGACAGGCGGACAGACAGACAAATAGCCAACTAGCAACGGTAGCAAACAGACAGTTAGTCTGACAGAGAGAGACCGCCGACCCGTCTAGTTTAAAACTGCGTGTTTTCCAATTCTATTTTAAGTCTTATCAGATCTAATTCGAAGTGTGCTTCTTGGTACCGTGCATTAATCATCAAATGTTATCATGCGCCTGATTATTATGCTTTTCCACTTCAATAAATTGCATTTGTATGAGGTCATTTGACTTCGTCAAAAGTTTGTTGTGAGTAAAGTAAATGAGAAAATAGCGTTTAGATTGTAATTAAGGTGAAGAGATGAACACTCATCTTCAGAAAGCGAAATGTACATGTAATGCATGTATATGTTCAAAATCAGATTTGCTTTCCATACATTATTTTATTCAAGGCAGACAAAGAAATAAACTTTGTTCCTACTAGCATATTCTGGTATTTTCATTTCAGTCTTCCAGGTCTTCTTGTCTATAACAACTTCTTAACCACCAGAAGGGTCTTTTGTAGAGAGTATCTGCTATATCCACACAGACACATACACACACACACACACACACACACACACACACATATATATATCGTTAATTGTAAACATTTATTGTCTTAACAAATTAATTAAATACTACTTTGGCGCGGCGATAATTTTACTTTTTCTCGAAAGAGACAGAGTGCCCAAGGTTAATAATAACCCTTGAATCGGTTAACTTACGTGACAATAGTAGATAAACTTCAAGCTTTTCAGATAGAGCGTTATCATAAGTGTTAGCACGCGTTAGAATCCGCATCACAAGACCATAACAAATGCTATTGTTCTTCCTCAGGTAATCATTTAGTCAGNGTTTTTTGTTAAAATACATATTTATTTTGTTTATTGCAAGCATGAAACAAGGATGCTACTAAGAAGGGGGTCGATTTAGTATGACAGAGGTTATGAATTCTGTTAACTATTTATGATAGTAAAAATACCATTTTGTTTCTGATTTTATCGTGAAATAACACATTTAAATGGCTATGGTTTGAAGTACAGTATCTTTACCTGATTTATGTAACTTGTCAGTTGATGCATTTTTATAGTAGAAACAGCCATTAGAAGTCAAAACTGAAAACTCTATAATTCTAGAACTGTAAATGGTTGAGACCACTTGTTTTGTTGCATTTTGTAGAGCTTGTCAAGTGCAATACTGGAAATGGTGTCTGTTTTTTTTTTCCATACAGTTTAGGAGTTACACTGTTTCAAATGGTACAACGTCACAATGCTCATAGGTGAAAATAAAATTTGAAATACTGGAAAATTAGCAGAGGTATGTCCATATTGAACATAAATAGAAAGTTGTATATTGGCAATCTTCTGGTGGCCTTGAATTTGACCTATTTTTAACATGAACTGTACTTTATAAATTTTCCAACCCTCATATCTCCCAAAGTGGCAGAAATACACCCATGTTACTATTGAACTTGAACAGGAATTCATATATTGGGTATCTTACTGTGACCTTGCAATGAATTTGACCTTGAATTACTTTTCACCATGAACTGAACTTTGCAAATTTTCTTGCCCTTATATCTCTGAAACTGGCAGAGAGACACCCGTAGTTATTACTTAACTTGAATAGGAAATCAATTTTTTTACCCTTATATCTCCAAAACTGACAGAGATACACCCATTCAATAAATATGACAAATATAATAAAATATAATGAAATTTTGTCATTTTGGGCCAGTAATTGTATGTTTGTTGCTAGGCCTCACTTTTTCCCGATGATCACTGTGTCAGTTACCATATTGTACAAAAGGTGAGTTAGCAACCCAAGAAATAAATTTACTTTAACTTAAACACTATGTGTGCCACCCAAGGTGAGAGATAGTGATCGCTATAGTTGGCTTTGGACGCAAAACAGCATCATCATCACCATTATGGGGGGTTTCATTATAGGAAAATGCTGCACTCTTGCTAAAGCATATTTTACCTGACTTTTCGGTGTGAGATAGGAGGGGCACTGAAATTAGTGTCTAGTTTCCAGGTTCATTTTTCAACAATAAGCCTGACAACCAAAAACTAGTGATGTATTTAAAAACAATACTGGCATATAGAAAGTAGTGTCATTTTTCAAAAAATTAATCTGGCATCTAGAAATTAGAGTCGTGGAAGTGTAACATGTTTAAGTATCTCTTCACCTTGCGCTGAGACCTAGAAGGCCATTATTGTTTATGGTGAATGGGTAGCTTTCACTGTAGAAGCCACCTGGGCATTACTGTCTCTCCGCCTTGTTGGGAGACCAAAATGACAGCAGATCAGTGTCTTTGGCGCACAGGTAGCCCTAACTGTGAAGGCTGAGCTGGGCATAGGTCGGTGTGTACAGGACACAGCCTTAGAAGAAGCAGCTGTGTATTAGGAAAAATGTGTGTTATCATCTCTCTCCACTGAGATTACCCCTGATTGTTTTCATGATCAAATATACTAGGTTTAAGGGAGAGATCACCTGCCATGCGGTAGACTAAGTAAGAGCTTGGATGGGAAGTCCTATATTCACAATGATACTGCAACCTTGGATTTGACCTTTTACTTTTCCTCGTGATTTTGTTATACATTGTAGTTTTCAACAAAAACATTTGAGAACTTTTGAGAACTTTTTATTATTGTATTCGTAGAGCTTGTCAAGCACAGCACTGGGGGTGGTGTCCCTTATTCTCATATGAATGCGTTTACTCCAGCTCCTGGCACAATACTTGGTATTGCCTCTCTGATACTCCAGTATTCTGTTTTTAAAAAATCTATTCTGGCAAATAAAAACTAGTTATCACACTTCAAAAAGTGAAAAGAAAAGCCTCTGACACATGTAAAGTGATTATGATAAATATTTCTGTTAACCAGAAACTACAGAAAAATTATACAAATGCCCAGAAACCAGAATCATGTTTTTGGAGGGAAACAGGAGTGGAAGAATGGAGGGGTGATTTGCGATAAGCAGCTACCACAAACAGCTAACCCTCCAGTCTCTCTCCATCTTGCACTGAAACAGGGACAGCCACAGGTCAGTGTTTATGGTACACAGGACGTCTTACTGCAAAAGCAGGTCTGGGCATTACAGTCTCTTTCCTCTGTGCAGTGAAGCAAAGAGACCACAGAACAGTGTCCACAGAGCACAGGTTGCCTTCACTGCTGAAGTTGGAATGGGCATTACACTTAATGTTGCTGGTGGTACAATACCTGGCAGCGGTATTGCAACTCTGATCCTTTAGTTTTAATCCGTAAACAAAGAACAATTGCCTGCATTGTGTAATAATTAATTATTTCCATGACTCATGGGTTTTTTTTATTCTGTCTTCAGGACTATGGCTTGTGTATACACTGCTATGAAAAAGATGGTCACGAACACAAGATGGACAAGTTGGGCTTGGATCTGGATGACAGTCCAGGTGATTCAGGAAAGCAGCAGAATCCCCAGGAGTCACTGGTGCATGCTTGTCAGTGCAAAGATGCAAACTGTCGCCTCCCTAGCTGGCAGAAAATGAAGCGTGTGGTGGCACACACAAAAGGCTGCAAAAGAAAGACTGATGGGGGCTGTCCTATTTGTAAACAGCTTAGTGCACTCTGTTGTTGTCATGCCCATCATTGCGAGGAAACAAAGTGCCCTGTGCCATTCTGTTTGGATATCAAACAAAAACTAAAAGTACAAAAACTTCAGCAAAGACTACAACAAGCTCAGATGATGAGAAGAAGAAAGGCCTTAATGAACATTGCACTATCCACAATGCAGCAGTCCATAAGTCAGACTCCAAGTATTCAGCCCGCCCCAGCCCCTATACCTCAAACCACTTACAATGGATCAGGGGAAGACCATATCAAATACATAATACTACAACAACAACGACTTCATCAAAGACAGCAACAAGCTCAGATGATGACATCCACAAAGCAGCCCGTAAGTCAGACTCAAAGTATTCATCCCGCCCGAGTCCTTATACCTCAAACCACTTACAATGGATCAGGGGGAGGCAAACCAAGTGGCCCTCCCCCTCAACAGCCACAGCCAGGACAGCAGCAACAGCAGCAGCAGGGATTGCCTTCAATAAATCGCTGGTCGATGTACAATGTGAATCCAGGGGCGCGACAGCCACAACCAGGCCCCATGCAGCAGGGAGCTCAAGGAGGAATGATGCATCCTCAAAACCCCAACATGCAGGGGCAAGCAGGGCTCACACAAAACCCACAGAGATCTGCTTTGCAGAAACTTTTAGAGACGGTGAAGTTGCCGACGTCGCCGCAACAGCAGCAGCAGGTGCTGGCCATACTGAAATCAAACCCTCAACTTAAGGCTGCTGTCTTAATGCAGCTTGCCCAGTGGCAGCAACAACAACAACAGCAGCAGCAGCAGCAACAGCAGCAGCAAATGCAAATGATGTTTGGAGGTCAGTGCCTGCAGCAACAACAACAACAGCATATTCCATCTGCTTTTATCAAGCAAAGTACTAAAGATCAGAAACTACCAGGGGTCTCTGCGGCCTGCAGTCATCCAGAGCATAGTCCACCCCTCAGTACTTCCCAAGGTAAAAGAGTGCTTATTTCTTTTACTTAATTAATTGTACCACCAGTGTAGGCACTGGCAGTACACATGGTTTTAGCCCGACTCATCTTGTCCTACGTATCCGCCAGCTCCGCAGCTATGTCACAGTTACCGCTTCTCTTACACCCCATTCCCAAAGATTTTAGATCGATCTATCCCTGTGGGGAGTCTCACTAGATTACTGTCAGCTTAGGGGGCTTAAGCATCTGTCCCGCCTACTATAAGCTGTAAGGGGGTAATTAACTATGGTGTGCGCTCGGTTGACTGCAATTTAGCGTGAACCCCCAGGGAGTAAGGTCGTTCTAAATCTAAATCTCTGGATTGATCTAAATCTCTGGGAATGCACCCTTAGACTCCATTCCCAGAGATTAGATCGATCTACTTTAGTATTTGAATGGTAATAGAAATTAAGACAATTTTTATTTCTGATTCAGTATTGGAACTTGAAATTTCTATAAATTTTGACTAGTTGGTAGAATTGACTAATATACAATTTAGCCCACATTTTTAGCACACCATTCTTGTCATAATGGGCAGAAAAAGCCCATGCTTTTGGAGTTCCTGTACATATTCTGACCAGTCTTTCTCTGTCCATGTCATTGCTGTTGCTGTTCAGCACATGGTGTTTGCCCCATAACTGCCAAACGGTATTTTTGTTTTACTGTAAATTTAATGAGTGGCTTTGTTTAGCAAAGAAGCAGTTCATAATTGTACCACCAGCGTTAGCGCTGGCGGTACACATGGTTTTAGTCCCGTCCGGTCCGTTCCGCCGGCTCCGCCGCCATGNTATAGTATTGATGTTTTAAAAAGATCTGAAACAATGAAATATTTGATAGGCAATATGTGACAAATAGTTGTCCATAAATAGATAACAATCAAACGCCGTAGTAATGAGAAAAATTAAATCTAAATAACTGGATGAATCAAAATATTCACTTAGAAATCAAGCACCTTGTTTGTGTTACCATTTACGCGCCTGTTGTAAATTTATTTAATTTAATAATACACAGTGTCTCATCCATCTCTATTAAATTAGGTTAAGAATAAGAAACGCTGGAGTCAAGTGATGTACATGTCCTATGTGTTGGATTTCCTAATGAAAGCTCATTCAGATGGTAGGTATCGTTTTACATCTGCGTATTCACCGAAAGATGGCATCAGCTGCAACTGTGCATTTTCACATTTCCTGTATAGTAGCACCCAGCACGGTGGCAAAAACTCACGTTGGCGCATTTCGTCACAACTGCATATCCATCACAATGACATATACATGTATATACACAGTAGTTTACAAGGCACACCTAGCAGCACGTTCACTGTTAAGTTAATGGATATGTTTATGTTGAACAGGCAGAAATCAGAATAAGTCGACAGCAGTCAATTTTTTTATAGGGCAGCCTATCGGCCTTAAAATTTAATCCATTCATGTTTAACATAAATGGATATCAATGGTAAAAACAGCTAAACCCATACTGCAATTTTTTCTAGCCACTGACCAAGACACGTTCATTCTTACCACCGATGCTGATGTTAAGTTTTCTCCGGAGTCTGTGGAATCCCTTATGGACAACATGATACGCGACAACACAGTGGGTGCTGTGTGCGCACGCACTCACCCCATGGGCTCTGGACCCGTTGTATGGTACCAAATATTTGACTACGCCATAGGGCACTGGTTTCAGAAAGTACGTAGGATTAAATGTCCAATTCAATATAAATTAATACAGTATTGGAATTGACCAGGTTATACTGTACTTTGGGTTTTGGTTATGCTTTCTTATGAAAATTTCCTGCAGTAGACGAAAAAAGTAGCAGGTTATTTATGTCATTAAAATTAAAAGTCGTGTCTGTAGTCTTTAGAAATGTTTCACCATTATGTAAGTATGTATGCAAATACTCTAATGTTGTTTAATGTTACAATATAGGCCGTAGGATGGGCAATTGTTGAAGGCGTAATTTAGTGCATGTACAATACAGGTATACATTTACATACATATAGCCTATACTGCATGTAGCCTATACAAATCTACATGTACCCTTTACTACATGTAGCCTACACATGTAGGCCATGACTGGGTTCCCATCCCTAGGTCGATCTAACAGGATCGGTCCTTCTCCACGGGGTTTCTCGCTAAGTTGCTTTCAGCTGAAGTGGCTTAGATGTCTGGAACGCCAACTAAAGCTGCTAAACAATAGTTAATTATCCCATATCAGCTTCAGTAGGCTTGACAGACATCTAAGCTGCTTAAGTTAATTGCAATTAAGCGAGAATCCCCTTGGAGATAGTTCGATCCAAAGTTAGTATGATAGGTCTGGGAACGGTCTCTATACTGAAGGAAAATCCAGAGACTTCAGATGGAGTAGGTAAAAAGAAAAAGCCAAAACTTTATAAAGACACCTCCAGTTGGACACGATGAAATATTTTTAATTGCTTAAATGGAAAATGCAAAAAAATGACGTATAAGTACACATCTCAAAACAAAAGACAAAACCGTGTCTCTTAGATATCTCCGTTTCTGTTGTCATTTACAGGCCGCCAATGACGTCCTCGGGTCAGTGCTGTGCTGCCCAGGCTGCTTCAGTGTGTACAGAGTGGCTGCACTGCGAGACGTCTTACCTCTCTACGCCTCTAAAGTGACCAAGGCCGAAGAGTTCTTGACCAAAGACATGGGAGAGGACAGGTGGTTGTGTACTCTCATGGTAAGTGATAAGTGTAAAGCGCGCCTTTAGTAGAATACCGTTTTTAAAATGACGCCTTCTGGTTGAGAACTGGAGAATTGAGAAGCATGCGGTTGTTGGCACCTCATAAAATGTTTTCAGGGTCTGTTTGTATCATACGAAGGTATGTGACAAAACTGAATGACAAATGGCTAATGTAAAAAATAGCTGGTTTGTTACTTGATAAGAATAACTTGTATCAAGTCTGCAGCCAAGTGTTAAAAACGATCAGGCAAACTATACCCTTTACAAGGGGGTGTCCAGATTAAATCCCTCTGGCTATCAGTACTATAATCCGTAAAATGTCATACTTGACGTAAGTCTAAACTCCCATTTTTTGGCCAGTGTGTATGCTTTTACTCAGACAGAGCGATTTTTCACCCAGAAACGTTTTTTCCTAGGTGCAAGCTGGCTGGCGTCTAGAATACTCTGCCGCTGCTCACGATGAAACGTTCTGTCCTGAAGAATTTGACGAGTTTTTCAAGCAGAGAAGACGCTGGATTCCCTCAACTCTGGCCAATCAGTTCCTCATTATGAAGGAGTGGGTTTATATCAGCAAGTTCAACAATCACATCCGCATGTTCTTTGCTCTCTACCAGGCTTTTCTGATCGTTTCAACTCTGCTAGGACCAGGGACAGTTATAATGATCATAGCAGGTAAAACGATTGTCATTGTATATTTGAATGGTTAAATAAATGAAGTCGGGAAAGGAAGACATAAATCTAGATTATGGGCGACAGGTGACAAAAAAAGAAATATGAATCGTCTTTTTGTATGCCAACTTTTGGTTCTTCACTGTTACATTTACTGAATCCCAATCCACTGTAAACACAATGATGTATTCACTGAATAATATGTAGATACAAAACAGGCCTACATAATCTGTGACATTGATTCATTTATATTTTAGGCGGGCTGAACTACTCTTTATGTGTCTCAACAACTGCAATGACAATCCTACTGTTGATTATCACTGTGGGTTACGCCGCAATCTGCCTTACCACTTCACAAGATACACAACTAATGGTCAGTATCAACAAAAAGTCTTGCGCTCTGTCATATTCATCACTCTATGTTACATATAAAGGTGAATGGAATATAATAATATTTGTCGAATATTGACTAGGCCTCGCTCATTGATATTTTTCGTGTTTTTTATTTTCATTTCGGGCTCATGATGTCGGAAAAATTATCTATCTATCTATCTATCTATCTTTCTATCTATCTATCTATCTATTGTGTTCTGGTTGCCAAGGTGAGATAGTTTTATTGTATTCTACAGGTTGCCAAAGTGATGACATTTGTGTTTGCACTGGTAATGGCCGCAGTCACCGTGGGGACAGCGGTGCAGATAGGAGAGGACATTGGACGCTCTTTCAACTTGACTGGCAATACCTCTGACTACAGTAAGTGTATGGTGTTTTTCTCAATATCTTATACCGGTATGATGCAGTTTTCTATACGTACCATTCTCAGGGTTCCAGCAAGCTAGACGGCTAGAGGCTTTAGGGATAGATAGATAGATAGATAGAAAATGTTGCATAATATACAAGAAAGGCAACAGCAATGTCTTTTTAACCAAATTGAAAGTACAGTACTTTTTGTAAGCTTTGGAAATGTATTAGAACAAGACTAATAAGTCTGAGAGACAGAATTACGATATTATTTACTGCAGGATTAATATTTGGAATTTAAGTTGAAACGTTCCTGATATTTTTACGTGTGGGTATTTCATTATTTCAGAACATTGTGATGAACCCTTACCACCACTGGAGCATGGTGGGTTGCCTTTGTCTACAACATCATTGTACTTCATGGGTAGGTTATACAGATGATTATCGGGCATTGCCTCATTTACTCTAAACAATGTCACGCTAAACGCATCACATCTTATTTATCACACGTCAATGTTACAAAGTATTAATTCTGCAGAATGTCATGCGAAACACAATATCCAAATTATACACTGTCATCCACACGCATTTATCGAGTGTTGTAGTGTCAAAATCCCAAATGATAACCATACATTGTACATCATAGTGATATGTCACTCAGTATCCACTCTGCAGGAGGTCACGATCTGTAATTAACACTCTCATCACTCCTACCACAATGTATGTGCATTAATTTTCTTAATAACTGTAGGTATAGTTGGGATCTTCCTAGTGGCAGGATTAATGCACCTCACCGAGTCCTATGCTCTGCTACATGGCGTATGGTATCTTCTGTGTCTACCATCCGGGTATCTCCTTCTGATGATCTACAGTATTTGTAATATTACAGACAGGTCATGGGGTAGGAGGAAACTTAATTTATAGCTTTTGTTTCTCTTTATGATAAGTCCTTTGCCAGTTCAGATCTACAAATCCACTGAATTATCCAGGGTGGGCGATTTTTTAATTCGACTCTCTTCTGAATTTACCCATGATACGCACATATTATAAATCAAAATAAATAAATAGATGAATATGTATTTTTCAATAGACAGATGCTATAATAAATGAAAAAAGTAAAAGCACATTATTTTCTCCTTTGTATGTCACAATATCAGTTTTAATTGAAATCAAAATCGAAATGTTATTATAGCCTGTAAAAACTTGACAAGGCATTAATTTTATAAGCGATTCCTTGATTTAAGGTACTCGAGAGGAAAAAAAGGAGAGCACCAAGGTTATAAGGAGCCACAAGACGTGGAAGGACAGGGCAATACAGATCTATAAGGGTTTCCTATGTTGGTATGTCATATAAATATAGATATATATTTTACAAACTGTCCATCAGAACAGTGACATCGATTCACATCGGCAATAGAGATTAATATCGTGCATATATTGATTGAACAGGATTTAAAATGGACCGATATGGTTGAATATCGTAGCTTTTATTATTGACTAAGAAACACTTTATGCATCATCAAACGAAGGAAAGCAGATATGAGAACAAAAGGTATGTAAAACAGCACACTTAGGCGCCATCACAACAAGCTGAAATTAGACAAAGAATAATGGTTAACATCTTCTTTCTTTCAGTTGCTTCTATCCACAACGGGACATTGTTACAAGAAAAGAGATGGTGGACGCGGAAGTTCAGACGACTGCTAACTTGCAGCAGCAAATGTCACAAGAAGCGTTTTCTAGTTTGACATCCATTGACGAAACGAGGTCATCCACATACATGTTCACGTCGTATACGGAGCAGGTGACACTACTGGTTGTATACGCATAAGAATGTAGTTCATAAATGGATGAAAATGTAAAGTAAATGTATTTCAAAAAGGAAAATATTCAAAGTCCCCCCCCCCCCATCAACACCCATCTGCATGCGATACATTTTCATTAATTTTTCCTGAATGACCTGAAACATGTTTGATATCAATGAGGATATTATTTTGGATCTGTTAAGGCAAAGGTTTTTGCATTGAAATAGAACAAGTTTTGCCATTTATTTACATCCATAAGTGTAGCTTCTTTATGCAATCATTTTATTTACATTTCTAGGGAAATGGAGGGCAAGGAAGAACGGAGGAAGAGGAGTTATACAGACAGAGTCTCAGAAGTAAAGCAATATCACACGATATAAGAATTGATCCGTGAACATTTCATAAGGCTTTGGTTACAAAAAATGATGTATTTGTGAAAGCTTTAAAGGTGAAATTAGGAAGTTAAAATAACAAACAAATATCCCGGTAAATAAAATGACGCCCAAGTAAGTGTGTTAACTTCAATTACAAAAAGTGATAGGGGTCTATATCTATTACTTAATTTACTTGTGTAGGAACAGGTTGCATTTAATTTGTACATTTGGGTAATGGGCAGGGCCCTGGCATTTTTTAAAATTAAAAACAGCAACATGTGTAACTTTCCCTTTTCATGAAAAATACAATTAAAAAAAACTCAAACCCTATTTATAACGTATTTAAACAAATCTAATTGAATTATTATTGCAGATGTAGAGGGCAGTTTTCGTCACCCTGGTGAATCGCGCCATGGTACGACACAGGACGACGATGAAGCCATACCGGTAGAAAAGTGGCTAGATAAGGAATTAGTGAGTGAAAATCCTCCAATGTTGACAAAATGTTTATTCATGAGGCCCTACATTTACCCAGATAAAGAAGAAGCTATTTGGGCACCATTGCTTATTTAAATATTTTTTCTTCGGTTTCAAACGGTTTTAAACTCGAGACACTACCTGAAGTCATAACACCACAATTTGCATTTAAAAGAATCATTTCTGTCTTTAAAAGTATTTAAATAAAGCGATTCAGTATTTATAATAATTTTTTGCAGAGAAAGTACAGCGAGAAGTTTATTGAACAAGGCTTTGAGAATACCAATTTTATTGCTGGTATGACAGAGAAAGAGTTGGAGGCGTGTGGCGTCACGGTGAAGGCTCATCGCAAGGCAATTCTGGAGCAAATTAGGCAGCTGCCAGATTATGAAATAGAAGCTTCCATACCGGTAATTAAATAAGTGTTTAGAACTTGAGAACACAGTTGAGTTTTTCAGTATAAAGTCTTATAAACATTAACTTAGTTTCAATAGAATGCTTGTATAAGACTGCGTTAAATCAACAAGGGTATTTTGTACAGTAGGTACGTTGTCTATACTAAATCGGCGTACTTAGTGAGCACCTCTACATATATTATGGTCTTACATCCTACGATCATTTGCCACTTTACAGAAAGACTCGTTAGACTGGTTGACTACTCTCGGACTGACCCAGTATCACAAATACTTCAAAAGAAACAGAATTATACACCGCAAAGATTTTGAAATTTTAAAGGGAATGTCACAGGAAGAAATTAAAAAGGACTTGCATGTGCAGAAGCCAGGTATGTTGAAATAAGTGACTGCGATGTTATGAACAAATATTATAACAGAATCGCATTAAAAAACCCTAAAATGTTTATTGGAAAATCTTGAATGACACCGCAAACCTTCAATATTCATAAGAGGTAAGGAACCCGCCCGGGTGTTCTCGTGAGTTTGGTGCCTAATAGATCTGGCGGTGTGGCAGGAATGGAGTCCTAGGAGTGGAAGTCCTGGGTCCCATATGATTAGCACATATAAGGGTTAGTTGGAGAATTGGGTTGGTACGTATATGTGCCAGATGTCACCTGTACAAAAAAAAAGGGGGGACACGGACTACGCTTACTAGTGGACTACCATTCCTGTCACACACCGGTATAGCATTTAACACACTGATCCTGAGCAGATACGCGCCCAAATGTTATCTACTGACATGCGACAATGCCACCCTGAGCTTCAGAGATAACTTGACACTAACCTCTTCACTATAGCATATCTTCATCGTGTCAAGTTATCTCTGAAGCTCAGGGTGGACAATACAAACAGAGGTGACCTTTTGCTACGCATGACTGACAGTTGAATACTTTATTTGGGGCTTAACGAACATTTATAACCTGTCAAACTTTCGCCTGGATGGATAGAAGAATAACAAAGCAACAAATCGCCCGCATTTGTCTGATGACAGTTTACTGTTCCATATTTCAGGTCACTTGAAATTCCTCCTTAAAGCTATCAAAAAACTAAGGTGGCCGACTGAAGGTAAGGATATCAAAAACTTCGTGTAGAATCTCTTCACCCAAATATAAGGTTCATGTAGATTATAAATACCATTGCTTGATATAATATAATATAATATAATATAATATAATATAATATAATATAATATAATATAATATAATATAAACTAAAGCTATCACTAAGTAACTAATCAATTTGAATTTTTCCTTTGTCAGAAAATACCATTCTCCGTCTGACAAAGAAATGCTGCTTGTCATATTTTAATTGTCGTCTTTTTGTAAACCCCCCCCCCCCCCAACAGACACATAAACCCAGCTTGTGGCGCTTGGAACTATTATTTGAATATCACTGTTACTGTATATGAATGTTGCTTCTTTTTATTTGATTAGAGGAGTTGCGTATTCAAGATGCTCGCTTGCAGTTTGATAACATCAACTTATTCGACATGCGCGCTATCAACAAAGCGGAACACGATTTTTGGTGCAGTCTCAGGAAAAGATGTCTCTTACCCGAGTCCAAGATTTTTGGGACAGAGGATGAATTAAAAGGTAAAGTCGGTAATGTATTATCGTCGAGATACCTACACATGGGTTACAGCGCTGGAAACACATCTGTTGTGCGAACAGGGAGAAGACACCACCACGCTCGGCGTGGACACCACATACACGATTACACACCTAACACCGCCATTTCGGTATTTAATAGTATAGTGCCGAACTCTGTACATGCATAAAATAGTCCTATCCAAAATGCATAGAAAATTCAGCGCGGAACGGCATGTCTTCTTAATATATATATATATATATATTATCCTAATGGCCCCACATTAAAATTTTCCAGACATTCACAATAAAAAAATTTTAATAGCGGATAAAAGTATCAGACTTAAATTGAAATTCTTTTTTTCAGCCAAACTCGTTGATCTGAGGAACGGGTACCTCATGATATTTGCTGTAGTCAATAGTTTGTGGCTGATCTTCATCATGCTGCTGACCAATCAAAAGGTTTTGTTTTTACTCGGATCAAATCCTTTAGGTAAGATTTAAAAGTAGGGTATTAGACAGCGGCTAATTTCAATTAAACATCTAGTAAGACACGGTGAAAAATATCGGCACAGTTAATGATACATATAAAGTTAGTTGCGGGCAATCCTGTTGTCTGTCGTTGATGTTAATTCTTCTTGATCTGAAACTAAGCAGCTTTTTAATTCAGGTTCCAGTCGGATAAAACTATATTATTCCATGGTATATTTCAGGCTTAGCCTTTCTGTTCGTTTTCGGCTTCGTTCTGATTATTCAGTTCCTGGCAATGATTGTACACCGGTTTGCTGCGTGGATGCACATGATTGCGCGTGCCCCGTACAAGTTCGGGCAGCCCTATCACACAAACTGGGCGTTCAATCCCCAAGAGGAGGATTTCATCGACCGTCGAATCGCACAGGAGGGCCAAGAACGGGCTCGGCGAAGGACCGAAGACAATATAGAAGTACGCGGCAAGAAAAAGCAGGTACGAATGCTACCTGTCTCTGAGGTGGAAACTAGCTTCAAAGCTGGCGACAATCCAGACATCAATACGCCATTGTTGAGGGAATCACGGAAAAGCACTTCTTACGTGACATAAAGGCCTTTCTTTAGCTTCCAAATCCTGACCACTCGAAATATTTTACCAATATACACCATGACTACATGGAATTGAATATTGTCGTGTATGTGATTTCAGGCCATGGCACAGAGTATTTATATACTGTATAGCGGGTCACCATCTTTTATACATGTTTCACAATTTTACAATTGATAAAGCGAAGTCATACACTGCAACTGTAATATTTTTCTTATCTTTATTTACTCTGAAATTTTTTTTATGTCATTTATTTCTTTTATTGTCATTGAATATATTATTATAATTGTACATAAACTACATTCTTTCCTTTATCATTTTTCTACATAGTGATCCTAATCACTCTAATTCTAATTTTTAAAGGTAATAATAGTATGCTTTTGTTCTCACCAATTTACTTGAATAACGCCATTTTTATAAGATGTGCCAATTGCAATTGATATATTTTGCTTATATTTTTGCTGAAATGACAGTTTAATATGCTAGATTATTAATATTGAACAAGAAGAAGATGAACTTAGAGTTAAACTGTTGGAATTTTCTGCAATAAAACACTAAATCTTACGTAATTTCACTGCCATTTAAAAAGAAATGTATTTTATACTTTTGGGTGATGACGATGTCAGGTCAGCTGTGGGATTGAATAAAATGGTTACGTAACTGTGTGATCACCCATTGTGGTTAGCGGAGGTGGGGAGGGGGAGTCACAACCTGAAATTAAGGTTCCCTTTTTAATATTTATTTTTAATATTGTTATTGTAATTCTAAATTATTGAGTACACTGAAGCCGTAACTAGTTAGTGAATCGTATTGTGTTAATAATGTTATGAACTCTTTTTCAAATGCTGGCATTAATATTATGTTATTTCGATCTTATTTCCAAATTGCATAGAGTGATAGAAGCGGTTAAACCTGTGCGTATAATTCCATGTTCAGAAATAAATTTCATGTTATCTTACACAAGTTTTCATGAAAACCTTTACTGTTATCAAAACAGATCAGACTGTCAACTTCACTGATACCTACTTTACAAAGGTATTTTAGTAGGAAATGGGACTTTTTAAAGTATGTTTCAGTCATATCAACAGAAATGGAAATTATTTGGTATTTCATCTAACAGTCAAATATGTTTATTCTGCAATCCAAGGCAACGACCCAAAATACTATTTCACCATCTTTAACCGCTAGTGGTAATGTACGAAATACATAGGCCTACATGTATATGTACACCGACAATGTGTGGACGTTATATCATATTAATAAATATTAACATTTCCATAACAACTAATTCTCTTATTATTCATTTATAAATTATTGTAAACATTTTAATAGTTAAATCATTTGTTAACACAAAGTGAACAATGTGGTATTGTGTTTTTTAGCGTACTAGCGGTTGAGGAAAAGAACCGTTGGCCTATAATTTATACTGAAAGCATATCAATGAAGCAAATAAGTGTGATATACAGTATATAATTTTACCAGACTATATCAAGGTTTGATATACCTTTACTAATGTCACTTGTGTCTTGAGTTTCTTGTCCGGTTCAATTAGTCACGGGACCCATGGCCAAGAACTTACACTTTTTTCTCGTTTTACTCAGTAGTGCATTGATGTATTACAGACCATTCCCAGACCCTATCGTACTAACTTTGGATCGAACTATCTCCGAAGGGATTCTCGCTTAATTACAATAAACTTGGGCGGCTTAGGTGTCTGTCAGGCCTGTTGCAACTGATGGGGGGTAATTAACTATAGCAGCTTTAGCAGCTTTGGTGGGCGTCCCGGACGTCTAAGCCGCTTGGGTTGAAAGCAATTTAAGCGTGGGACCCCGTGGAGATGGGCCTATACTGTTAGATCGATCTAGGGATGGGAACCCAGTCTTACACCCCATTTCCATAGATTTTTAAATCGATCTATCCCTGTGGGGAGTCTCACTAGATTACTGTCAGCTTGGCCGGCTTAAGCGTCTGTCCCGCCTACTAAAAGCTGTAAGGGGGTAATTAACTATGGTGCACGCTCGTCTGACTGCAGGGAGTTAGGTCGATCTAAATTTTAATCCCTGGATCGATCTAAATCTCTGGAAATACACCCAATATGTGCAGTGTACAACAAGTGCAGTGTAGTGCAGTGCAGTGCAGTGTCCAAAATGAATAAGGTGATCACGTTTGATAGGCTGGATGGTTTTTTGTAATCAAATGCAACGCTGTCGTTGTGAATAGGTACAAATAACAAATACAATAAAACACAATAATAGCACTCAATTAACGTCAAAAATTAAATACATTGTAAGAAATTCTAATAATAGGGCCTATACCAGTAAATACATCAATACAATAGGGACCCATAATACAATGACCGTTAAAATATGGTCAGATGCAACAAATTCCGATTATTCCTTAATTTAAAAACATGTTGCGACGTAATGACTCACATTTAGCAAGGGATTTATGTCTGTTGCCGACCCATGCGGCAAAATAAGTTGAAAAGTAAAATAAGTGTATTTAAGTAATTGTTATTATTATTATTATTATTATTATGTGTTGTTGTTGTAATTAGGATATTTATCAGTATTTATCATTGTTTGTTTCATTTAGAGAACAGTAGTGTATAAGTTTTGAGATTATTTCCAGTGACCCAATGTTACGGGTCAATTATTTTTGAGAGTAGTGAGCAGACCATACTAGGGTGTAGTCCACTCGTGATTTAGCAGCCAATGCGCATGGGGGTTAGCCCATCGTATGATTTTGTCACAGATACGCATGGGGGCTAGCCCGTCGTATATGTATACATTTTATTTATTTATTTTTATTTGAACAACAGGATTATCTCCAAGTTATGTAGCTGCAAATTGAGTAAGTTATTGTTATTTAATTATTTATTTATTTGTTCATTATAGTATCATAAATTATGTGTTTACTTTGTTCATATTCACCATTAATTGTACTCCATTGTTAGTATTATCATTTTTATTTTTTATTCATTGCGTTTATTTTCATTATTTTTAGTTTCACCATTTGTCTTATGTATGATGATGTGAAATAAAGGCTACTGAGATATGAATCCTGAGTTGTTCAACAGTGAAATCAATGCAGTGATATTCGTCCCTGCCAGTGATATTCGAATACCGAATCCTACCCAGTGAGCCACCTGTCTATTTGTGTCCAACGCCTGGCCCCGTCTTCGTGTTACAGAGGAAGGTGAACGTTCCACCGCGCCGACAATATGAGTGAACCAGAGAAAATGGAGGATCTACGCCGGGCGAGAAGAGCGCGTAAGGGCGTGGTCACTAGATGTATTGGGGCAGTGGAAAGAGCCGTAGCTGAGGAGGACTCTAAATTAGTAGAGAGTAAGCTAGATAAGCTTAAAGACACTTTTTCGTCTTTTGAATCATTTCATGACCAATTTCATAGTTTACTTGTTGATGATGATGAAGTAGAATCAAGCGAAGAATGGTTTCGCGAAGTAGAAAACAATTTTATTGAATGTGTTAAGCTTGGTATGGGTTTTTTGAAAGGTGTAAAGAGCAGAGCAGAAGTACAGCCTGCAAGTGAATCAACTTTGGTTTCATATTTAAATGTACCACGATGCAATATTGACATTTTCAGTGGCAATGCCAAAGATTATCATTATTTTATCACCTTATTTGAGGAGATTGTTGAATCGAACGTGAAAGATCCTCAAACTAGATTAAATAGGTTGCTTCAATTTACGTCTGGACCAGCGAAAGATGCAATTAAGAACTGTGTTTTAATAGGTGGTTCAGAAGGTTACACAAAAGCAAGAGAAATACTAAAAGAACGATTTGGTAATGATCATCTGGTTGCCAATGCTCTCATTGAAAATCTCAGACATGGCAAACGAGTTAGTAGTGCTAAAGAGTTGCAATGTTTAGCAGACGAAATTCAAATTGCCAGTCTTACACTGGAAAAGTTGTCATTAAAAGGAGAAATAGAAAACCAGAAAATTATGTTGGACATAGCACGTAGATGTAGTGGTAAAGTTATGAAAGGTTGGCAAAAGAAAGCATTAGAGGTGAAAAAACACATCGGAAAATATCCAACATTTACTCAGTTCGCTGATTACATGACCGTATCGGCCGCGGACGCCAACGACCCGGTCTACGGAGACCACTCTTTGCCTAAAAGGGCCAATTCATCTCTCGCGTTTGCCAGCGCTAAACAAGACGAAGTTCAGTCAAACACGGGTAATCGGCATATTGTCCCTTGTGTTGTTTGTCAGCGAAATCACAAGTTGTTTCAGTGTGACGACTTCAAGAAAATGGACGTGTCAGCGCGGATCGCGTTAGTGAAGAGACACAAGCTGTGTTTCAATTGTTTGGACGCGGGTCATTTTTCCGATAGCTGTAACAAACTTCCCATGTGCAAGGTGTCCGGTTGTGCTTATAAGCACTCTAGATTACTTCACGTATTCTCCGAAACAAATCATGCCGATCAGGGTACGAGAACGTCGACCGCGACTAATAGTAGTGTTCAGTCAGTTGAGGCCGCGGGTTTTTCAAATGCGTCAGATAGCGGTGTTTTTTCAGCATCGGTCTGTGTGAATTTGCCCATTGTTACAGTGAGAGTGAATGACAAGATAAATGCACTCGCGCTTTTAGATAGCGGGTCAACGTCTACTTTTATATCACAGCACTTGGCTTCTTCTCTTTGCCTTGATACAAAAGATGAATTGTAATGTCGGCTAAGTACTCTTGACAGTTCAAGGTCCATTAGGTCGGCTGTTGTTTCAGTTGACGTGTCCCCTTGCAGCGACGCTGCGAAGACGTACCACTTATCGAATGTGTTAGTTGTCCCAACTATACAAGTCCGAGCAAATCAACACATCAATGTGTCAGCTTTCCCTCATCTATCAGATATTAATCTTCCTCAGATTAATACGCGATCGCAAGCTGATTTGATTATAGGCATGGACAATGCACATTTAATTATGCCGCTTGAAGTGCGCATTGATGAAAGTGGTGAGTGTGATATGTATGCAGTGCGTTCACGATTAGGGTGGTGTTTGAATGGACCCAATGTCAATTCTCTTTCCCAAGAACTTTCAGTCAATTTCCTTTCTTTAGAAGAGAAAATTGAGAATATGTGGAAATTGGAGAGTGCTGATGATTGTTTGGGATTTTCATGTGAGGACAAAAGAGTTTTGTCTTTATGGGAATCTACTGTTTCCAAGGAAAATGGACACTACGTTTTACCCATACCATGGAAAGACGAATGTCCAAATTTTCCTGATAATCGGGCTGTAGTCTATCATCGATTGAAGAGCCTTGAGCGCAGACTTGAGAAAGTTGGTTTGCGAGATAAATATGCAGAAAACATGTTAAAGTTAGTGTCGGACGGTTATGTTGAAAGAGTGCCCGAGAGTGAAATTGAGTTGAATGATAACACTGTGTGGTACTTACCACATCATTTTGTGTTAAACCCCGCAAAACCTGAAAAGTTTAGAATTGTCTTTGATTGTGCTTTGAAATGTCAAGGCATCAGTTTGAATAATCAGTGTTTGCAGGGCCCCGACTTGACAAATAAGTTAATACTTTTGCGTTTCCGTCAATTTAGGTACGCCATAATGGCGGATATTGAATGTATGTACTACCAAGTCATAGTTCCAGAAAAGGACAGAAATGCTTTACGCTTCTTATGGTGGGAGGATGACTCACTTGTGCATTTTCGTATGCGCGTTCACTTGTTTGGAGGTAAGTGGGCAGGTAGTGCTAGTTGCTTTGCGCTTAGGCGCACTGTGCAGGATCATGACGTCACTGATTTGGTAAGTGGGACGGTTCAGCGGAATTTTTACATTGACGACTTGTTAAAGTCTGTGAGGACAAAAGAAGATGCCCGTGAGGTAATTGTCGATGTAAAAAAGGCTCTTCTTGATGGGGGTTTCAAACTTACCAAATTTGTAGTCAATGATTCTGAGCTGTTAGATGTAATTGCCCATGATGATCGGGCAGTTGAGGTGAAAGAGCTGACTCACGGGGTGCATGCAAAGGCGTTGGGTATGAAGTGGGAAGTCGATTTGGATGTTTTTTACTATACTTTCAAAATTGACATAGGTCAGGAGATTACTAGACGCAAAATGTTGAGCGTAGTGGCCAGTATGTATGACCCACTGGGTTTGATTGTTCCTGTCGTTTTACGTGGAAAATTACTTTTTCAGGAGGCGACAAGATTGAAACTAGATTGGGACGATTCAGTTCCTCACGAATTGTCAGTCGCATGGATTGATTGGATTAAATCTTTAGAGGAATTAAAGGAACTCAAGTTTAAGAGATGTGTCGTTCCAGAGGAATATTCAGATGGAGTGTCAGAACTACACGTGTTCTGTGATGCAAGTCAGCACGCTTTTGGAGCCTGTGTGTATGTGAGATCAGTCAATCATGACGGGAAAATCCATGTCGCATTGTTAGTTTCTAAAGGTCGTCTCGCTCCATTGAAACAAGTTACCATTCCCAGATTAGAACTCTCAGCATGCGTTGTGGCTGTAGAATTAGGAAGGCTGATTCGCCGTGAATTTGACATTCCTCTCTTGAAATCCACGTTTTGGACTGATAGTGAAGTGGCCTTAGCTTATATAGCAAATGAATCCAAACGTTTTAAAACGTTTATTGCCAATAGAGTTTCTCTGATACGAGAAACTACTTCTCCAAGTCAGTGGAGACACATTTCTGGATGCGATAATCCAGCAGATGTACTGTCACGAGGGTGTGGTCCCCGTGAAATCCCAGAAAGTTGGGTTAATGGTGTTCATTTTTTGTCTGAATTCAAGTCTGAGTGGCCCAAAAATGAACCAATTTTCAGTGATATACATGCATCAAAGGATAACATTTCTGCATGCAATGCCGGTGTTGTGGAAGTTGTGGAGGTCAGAATTTTTTGGAAAAGCTGTGGATGTATTATCCATCTTATTACCGCTTGTGTAAGGCTGTCGCATGGTTGATGCGTTTCAGAAAATATTTACACACAAAGGTAGTGACGTCAGGGCATGTGACGGTCAGTGAATTAAAGGAGGCCGAATATAACATTATTCGGTGTGTTCAGAATGAGAGTTTTTCATCTGAACTGATTGCATTGAAAAAGGGTCGTGTTCTAAAATCAAGTCCCATCTACAAGTTAGTACCAGTCATGCGTGATGGGATTATGATTGTTGGTGGTCGTCTGGTGCATTCATCTTTGTCAAGCACTCAGCCTCCTATCTTACCAAAGAATCACCCTGTGTCCCGTTTGATTATTCAAGATTGTCACAATGATGTGCATTTGGGATGTGAGTGGACATTGAGTCGAGTTCGGAAGAAATATTGGATAGTGGGTGCGAGGAATTTGATAAAGCATGTTGCACGGATGTGTGTTGTTTGCAAGCGATTATATGCGCCTACAATTGTCCAAAGAATGGCTGATTTGCCACCAGAGCGTTGTCAAGCAGGAGGTCCCCCTTTTGACATAGTGGGAATTGATCTCTTTGGTCCCCTTATGGTCAAGGTTGGTCGATCTCAAGTAAAACGCTATGGTTGTGTTTTTACTTGTTTTAAGACTCGGGCAATTCACCTTGAAGTTTTGGAAAGTCTAGAGACGGACTCATTTCTAAACGGATTTATTCGTTTTGTTTCTAGACGAGGGTGTCCAGGTAAAATATTTAGTGACAATGGTACAAATTTAGTGGGTGCTGCAGCTGAAATCTCACGTTGTTTGAGTCAGATTGACAAAAACAAAATTGTGTATCATGCCAGACGCAAGGGAATAGAGTGGGTTTTTAACCCTCCTTATGCTTCCCATTTCGGTGGTGTGTGGGAAAGAATGGTGAGAACTATCAGAAAAATTCTGATGAGTTTAGGGTCGTCAAGATCAATGTCCGACTGGTCTTTACAAACTCTTCTATGTGAAGTTGAGTGTATTGTGAATGGACGTCCCATAACCAAAGTCAGTGAAAGTGTTCAGGATTTAGATGCTCTCACACCCAATCACTTACTCGCATTGAGAGGTGTACCGTCACTTCCTTGGGGAAAGTTTGACACGGCTGATACGTACAGAAGGTTATGGAAGCATATCCAAGTCATTACGACTCAGTTTTGGAAAAGATGGTCCTGTGAGTACCTTGTATTACTCCAGAGCCGTTCAAAATGGCATAAAATTAGAGAGAATTTAAAACCGGGCGATCTAGTTCTTATGGTCGATCAAGACTTGCCGCGTGGTTATTGGCCCTTAGCTATCGTGGAATCAACCAAAACTAGTCGCGACGGTCTAGTGAGATGTGCCACCGTGCGCACACGCAATGGTAAATACGTTAGGCCAGTTAATAAGTTGGTCAAATTAGAAGGAGACTTATAATTGTCATTTTTTTTTTTTTTTTTTTTTTTTGCTGGGCGAGTGTTGCCGACCCATGCGGCAAAATAAGTTGAAAAGTAAAATAAGTGTATTTAAGTAATTGTTATTATTATTATTATTATGTGTTGTTGTTGTAATTAGGATATTTATCAGTATTTATCATTGTTTGTTTCATTTAGAGAACAGTAGTGTATAAGTTTTGAGATTATTTCCAGTGACCCAATGTTACGGGTCAATTATTTTTGAGAGTAGTGAGCAGACCATACTAGGGTGTAGTCCACTCGTGATTTAGCAGCCAATGCGCATGGGGGTTAGCCCATCGTATGATTTTGTCACAGATACGCATGGGGGCTAGCCCGTCGTATATGTATACATTTTATTTATTTATTTTTATTTGAACAACAGGATTATCTCCAAGTTATGTAGCTGCAAATTGAGTAAGTTATTGTTATTTAATTATTTATTTATTTGTTCATTATAGTATCATAAATTATGTGTTTACTTTGTTCATATTCACCATTAATTGTACTCCATTGTTAGTATTATCATTTTTATTTTTTATTTATTGCGTTTATTTTCATTATTTTTAGTTTCACCATTTGTCTTATGTATGATGATGTGAAATAAAGGCTACTGAGATATGAATCCTGAGTTGTTCAACAATGTCAGTTGTTGTAAACAAAATTTCTCATGATCGTTTATGTAGCAAAAATGGAGATAGGCGTGCCTTTTTATTTTATATAGGCCTGCTGCGTATAAATGCGACCTCTCAGCTGTATATTTATACGATGCTTCATGAAATATAGCTTATCTTCTCTCGGTATACAGAAAGGATAGAAACGGTTTTCTGGTAATATTTTGGATCAACATAGCCCTGTCTTTAAATATTTAAGACATGAGATACCGACCGGATGGCCTTGTGGTTAGAGTGTCCGCCTCCGGAGCGGGAGGACGTGGGTTCAAAACCCGTCCGGGGACATACCAGTCCTTTATAAACGGTACCTGCTGTCTCCCCGCTTGACACTCAGCACTAAGGGGTTGAAGCAGTGACCTGGTCAGGCAGTATTTAAATGATATATTACCTCTCAGCGCCTAATATGGCAGCCGAGCTGTATCCTCCCCAGGGAGGTGAGACCGTCTACAGAGTGCACCAGTGCAAAAATGACCAGGCTTCCTTGACTTGAATATTCATTTAATTTAAATAAATAAATTTACATAATTGTATAACTTCAACCTTCGGGTTGCGATTTTCCAATAAAGATTATTATTATTATTATATTATGAGAGGTAGTTCTAAACCTGGCTACAGGTGCACGTTTGTGAGAAGTCAGAGAGCTATTTCAGGTAAATTTCTTTACTATTACACGATTTGAGAAACTTGTAGGAGTATAACTTTTTTCTAGCCAGTCAGTTTGTCGCATTTTTTAAAACTTAAATGTCACTAATTTGCCTCCAAGACGTATCTAGACTTATGAACACAATAGGGTCATGGAATGGTGTCGTCTTGGATATGGATTCTTTGATTTGAAGAGATCAGTTTAGTTGAGTACAGATGGTAAGTCGTCGTCTGCAAACATTTGATTTTTTGCCATTTTAAAGGCATTGAGTTAACAAATGATATTTTGCTAAGGAGTGACAGAACTGTTCCAAGTACAGTACTGTTAGTGTTTGTGAGTTGTACTGCTCTACACTACCCCCCCCCCCCCCCACAAAAAAAAAAGAAAAAAAGGAAAGTTTGGCGTAGTCAAACGACATTTTATGGCGACAACAATCTCCAGAGCTTATTTATGCACATGTGCATTCTGCACATGCTCAATTGTGCCCTAGAGGGGTAATCTCCTTTGAGACACATGTTGCTACTTATACCATGGGGCATCACTGCCTGGCCTCATTTTGCTTGATTCATTCTGTTCACGAGCATGATACAAGTTATCTCAAATCTGCAACTGAAATCTTCAGTTCAAAAAATTTCATACCTTCTTGGTAATCAGTATTTTGGAATGTATGCTAGCTACATGCATTTGCATTAGCCTATTTCAGCTGAGTTCTGATAAATGTTCACTCTTCGAAGCATTTAAAATACTTCTCATCATACTTTCAGTGAGTCTCAATCTTCTATTTCAGCCCAATTTTCAGGGAAGCACAGGAAGCTCACCTCCACAACCAGTGGCAGTATTCTTGAAGAGAATCCCAAAAGAATACTTTTAGGAGCAGTCATAAGTTAACAAACTGACACTCTACTTGGCAAGATTTCTGAGATGTTCCAGGCATACTTGAACACCCATCTGATGGTCAATTTGTATATCATGGAGTGGGTGAAGGTGAGATTAGGTAAAGCACCAATGTATTAGAATGGAAATGAGGCTATTGTATCATTAATCAGTTATTCAAAATATTGAAAACCCTAACAATCCTGTAATTCTGATATGCAAACTGGTAATAAAAAGGTTAAGGATGCATGTTTAATTATAGTCTTTCCTCTTGTGAAGAAATTGAATATGACATTTTCTCCCTTTTCCTTCTTTTTTAGACTGCAATGCTTCTGATGGGATGCATTCATGGCATTTATGGTGTTGCAATAATGGTAGATTGCCCCTCATTTGATAGGACAGCAGCAACCTTGGACAAGCACTGGTGTAAAAATGATTCCACAGTCACATACACTGTAGCCAGGCAAAACTGTGAAGACATTTGCTCAGTCCTGGCAGTACCGACCTTGCATACTGAGATTTCATTTCATGAATTGTAAGTGTTTTTATGTTTTGATCATTTTTTATGTTTAAACATTCATAATGTAAATAAAGTAAGTTTCATTGTTTTCTTAAATAAAACTATTTAAATTTAACAGTTTGTGAAGTCAAATAAATTGATAGGGACATTTACAGAAAGGTCAAATCTTTGATTATCACTTTTAAATTTCTTTGATAGTACATGTAATATAGTAATATCGTTTTATTTGTCATGCTGTACAGAATCAATGGCATCCAGCGTTGGATAGGCATAGAGAATAATGGCAGTGCCTGGTCTGGCATGGATTCTGGCTATAACCGTTGGCCAGGTGGTGTAGAACCANAATCAACTAACAATGTTGTAAAGATGCAGGAAATGTCAAACAAACACTTTTACGTATCTTATTAGTTTAATAATGAGACTGTTAACATGCCTAAGAATTGAATCTGAGGAAATGTGAAAAATATGCTGAAAAGTGAAAAAACAGCATAACTTCTACAATAATGGCCCGATCATGCTGATTTTCGAACTTGACCTGCGTTTTATGAATATTCATCAGCTCTGTAAATATAAAGCCAAAAAGTAAAACTGCCCTCCACTTATCGTGTTTACAAGGAAAGTGCACGGCGCCGGCATCGGCATCGGCATCGGCATCGGCATCGCCATCGCCATCGGCGACGACAGACGCAGGTGATGGCAATATGTACAGACACATCTGTGTCTGTACATAATAATAATGATCCAACCAGGCTGATTTTTGAAACAAACCTTCTTTATAAACACATACAGCCAGTAAGAAATTTTGTAGTTAAATGGGAGCTATTTATTTATTTTTGTTACCTCTTTTACTGCTGCAGTGTTTGTTTTTTTTTCACGACAAATGCACATTTTCAATCATATTCTGCATGTAAATATAAATATTATACAAGTAAAGTCAAAATCAATTATCTGGTGGTTTTAGAATCCACAAAAAAGGCAATCAAATAAGCATGGCATGGATGTTTTTGACCAAACATTGAATATCTGAATCCAGGCCAAATCCCAGTAACAGTTACCATATTTGATCAGTCACTATTTGCCAGAGTACAGTGAGTGTAATTATAGTAATTAATGAATGATGAAGGGAGGCATTTTAATACTGGGGGAAGGGGCGGGGAGAAGACTGGACAAAAATTTCAATCCAAAAGACCCTCGGTGTCATCTCTTAGAAGACTGAGACTGAAGAGATCTCTTCTTTCTATGAAGTCCTCACACTAGTTCAAAACAAGAACATGATGCTCATAATCTTGCACTTAACCCTGTGCAATCTCTCAGCTTAATAGAGGTTCAAATGATGAAACTCCCATCCACACTTGCAGAAAAGACTTAATTGCTACATAAGAATCTGGTCAACATTCATGTTCTAAGATCAGATCATTACATATTATCATGACATTCCACTGTGTAGCAGAGCCCTTAAGGAGAGAAAATATACCTTTCATGTTGTAGCATTGGATCAGGCAGCACCTTTTCTTTGCCTTGGCCCATGTTTACTAGGCCAGGCAGGTGCCTGTCCTTAAGTCTCTGCTGTGCAGGACTGGAAAATGCTTCAAACTGCGTGATTTCTGAAACAGCCAATTGTTTTCAGCCTCCCATTCAATCAGGGTCATGAGCAGGAGAACAATATGGTAAAAGATAAGTACAAGTCAAACTTAAGATTTGACTGAGAACCCAGCATTTTCATATGGACATGCAAGAAACAATACCAGCAGTTTCTTTAGAAAGTCTTTTCTATGGATGCACAGTGTCCATTCATACTTCTACCAAGAAGAATTCCTCAGCACCCTTCAGAAAAGCCCGTAGAAAGATCAATCCTAAGAAAGATTACACAATTAAATTTGTACAGAATAACATGACTATATGGTCAATTATATATCTCAATGCAAAACTTTGTAACTTCTAGGAATTTCCTGTCCTTTAGGTGGACTTGTCATTTCCTCCTTCACTTTCAGATATTTGAAAGCCCCGAGCCATGTGAACAACCAGATCAACCACCAACACATGACTGTGAGGTGCTACATGGTGCAACCATTGTCCACAGTCTTCCTGCCAGTGTCAACACAATGGATGATTATGCTGACAATATTTTCTTCCCTTATTTGGATAGGCAACTGAACATAATATGTAGTATAGAACACGTCTTCCTGACTCCCTGAAAGAGTCCACAAGTGAGAAGAAAGCAAGATATGCCAAAAAGAAAGTGAAATGCCTCCCCCCCTCCAAGACCTATAAGATAAAACAGATACTGAATATTCTCTTTTGAAAGATCAAAGATGTAAGGTTGCAAATGGCCTAAATCCAAGTAGGTCTTTTTGACTTCAGTGCTGTCAAATCAGGTTACTGTTTTATTGTGCCTGATTGCAATGTACAGTGAAGAGGCCAACAAGCCATGTTATGCTGAGCTGGGTGTTCAGAGATAATTCTTGTATGCCCAGCGATTACCACAGAGTTGCCATACAGGTGGGCAAGTTTGGCAAGGCAGCCATATTTAATTTTTTTTTTAATCTCAGAAACTTAATTATACAACAAAACACTCAATCAGCAGGGATCCTGAGCCACCTTAGGATCCAGAAAATCCTGGAATTCCACAATTTTTTTTTTTGTCAAATGGGTAAATTCTCCAATGATCAAGCTATTATAACTTCATTTTGATTTAGTATGCCAAAAGATATTAGGTACAATATTTGGTGATTTTATCTGTTAAAGCTTGATTTGGAATTTCAAACAATTTGCAATGTGCCTCCTCTGTCAGATTTTCATAATGAAAAATTCAGACGAAGTCACCCTACTAATCGGATGCTAAGAATTAATCTGTACACGTGTATTTTTCAATAGTTAATCAATTGAAGAAAAATGAAACGAAGCTCAGTATTTCTCTCCTTCATACAAAGAAGATCTCCATAAACAGTCCCGAGGTGGTTAAATCGAAGGAAGTACACCTGTGCCCTGCATCTGATCTCCAGTGTCACTGCATTACTTGTTATTAGAATGGGGCACGTGGCAGTTTTACCTGGCTTTCCAGTGTGCAAAAGAAACCATTCATGTGTGACACGTCATCAATTAGTAAGTATGGAAGCAGATTGCTATCGATGTATAATTCTCACACGGCATTTTAAAGTCACCTGATAAAAATCGATCTCTGAGGTTTCAATGTAACTAACGTTACATGGGACACAATGAAGAAAAATCGACCTTGTTAAGCAAGAAATGTGAATTTCTTAAGAAAACTGATATTATCATGGACTTCATGACACAAGCTAACCGACAGACTACTTTGGACGCATTGAAGAGTTTTAATATGGAAAGATAGGATTAGATGAAGTTTTCAATGGGCTGGGACACATCATGTATTGTTAGTGAAGGTAATTTTGTGATAATTTTTTATTTAAATAACCTTTTGCACTTTCTGTTTCATATATTTTCTTGCAGTAGGCGTATTTCCTGCTTCAATCATCCATTCAAACCCTAAACAAACTGTTCCTAAAAAGCTCTTAAGAGATTTTAACTGACGGAGCCCTCTCTGACAAGCGGGGTTTTCTGATGACCTACTTAAAACCGCGGGAAAAGCAGACAACAACAACACTTTATTACAATAAAATAAGATTCATACGATATAATCGTCTTATTGCTCAGAATGCATTTATTTCTACAACGTGTGCAGTTCTGAGCTTTTCGTTATCCGACACACTGTACAAAAACTCGCAACTTACGTCTGAGGATTGTGTCATGCGCCTGCTATATCTTATCCCGCCACATGCTATTTTGGTCTCGAATGCATGCGAGAATCCGTGTGATGCGCCAACATCCTTGACAACGGATGCCTTGACGACTGGGAAGAAAGGCACCGAAAGCCCTATTGACAAGCACAGTTTTTAGTTTTACTACAATAACAGCCGTTTTAGTGGTGAAATGCAATATAATATATTTCTATGTGTTGTTTAGAATGTATTTCTTGCGGAATTTTGAATCTCAAAGGAAGAGTTATTATTGCTTTAATCTATCACCTAAATGCACACATCTTCATTCAAAAAGGAAGTGCAGTCTTTTCCAATTTTATTCCCAAATGAGAAAACCCCTTTTCAGAAAGATGGAAGCACAAGTTAACCTTTCAGATTCACCAATGGGGTGACAAAGTGGTCATGACTCCTTTGTTTGTACCTCATCCAATATCCAGCATAAGTTCAATGAAGGCCAAATGCCCCAGGGTTACCTACTAGGAGATTCATGGTACCCTGTTCTGCCTTATCTATTAACACCCTTTTTAAATCCAAATGGAAGAAGTCAGGCACACATGTAAAGGACACAACACTAGGTAGACCTACATATCCTGCCACATTCCCTGTATGCGTCTTTTAGTCAAAACTTATATCATATACCTATGCTAGAGGATAAGAAATTTTAAAATGTATACATATATATGCATAAGCTGTGGGCAGTCACACTATACATATTTATAGTGTTTGCAAGGATAGAATGTATCCTGTTCCTTGTTTTTTTCCCTTAAAGGGATAATAACTCTTCGTATGAGATCTATATTTCACAATAAAAACATTGTTAAGAACTCATAGAAATATAATATATACTGTTTTACCATAAAAACGGCAGTTATAGCTATTATTCTGATATCTGAGCTTGTCTGTAGACCATGTGACCTCCACTGACGGCTATACTCTGTTAAAATCTCTTAAGAGATTTTTACAAAAAACAAACTTTTTAGAAAAAAAAGGGGACTAACTTTGAATGTAAAAATGGATTCATTAACCATTGGTAAGTATGGGAAAATTGTTGTTTGCTCCAGGAAAATTAATTTTTTGGCTGAAAGGAAGTTATTATCCCTTTAAACTATCATTACAAAAACTCCAGCAAACAACTCAAATATCCTCTGCAATCATATATGACTGTAAAACATGGTAAATTAAGAGTATGGTTCATCATGATCCAACATGCAACAAAGCAAGAAAGAATATTCTAAATCAAGCACCACCCATATGCATGATGAACTGTGCCATATGACTTAATGCCATGATAACGTTAGAAAGCAATCTCTGTGAAAATCTGTCAATTGGTAGTATTAGTGCACCTGCTGAAATATAATTACATTCTGTGGCCATTTTCACGGATTCAGAAAGTACATCCTTGAACATGAATCATGTAATCATTATTATATGGTTGATTATGCATATACACATAGGGAACATTGGCAAACAAATGTCAAGTTACTACTATGAACACCACTTTTTCCAGGTGCCTCTGTAATCAACTGGGTCCAGGGGAAATTTCTATGGAGTTAAAGCCATGTTGGGAGTCTTCTGGTGACATCTCCAGACACCTTCATGACCACAAGTGGCTGACTGGGAACAGTGGATTTGTGAAGGGACACACTTTATCTTAAAGGGATAACAACTGTTCTTATAAGATTCATATTTTGTAATAAATTCTATGAAACAATTCATAGAAATGAATGTAGGAATGGATTCATTAACCATGGTACAAGTATGGGGAAATTGTCGTTTGCCCCAGTAAAATCTTTTCTTTTTTTTTTCATCAAAAGGAATAGTTGTTATCCCTTTAATAATTGAAGAAATCAATTGTCAAAAAAATTCCAATTCATGGTGTGCTAGCTGGCTGCCCCAGCTAATTTGGTGACTGGACTGTGAAAAAAAAAATTCAAATGTACTTACATTATGAGGGCTACTGGTGACAGCTTTGACTTCTGACACTAGCACTATTCCCAGACTGAAAGAAATGAAAACAATGTTAACTTTGCAAAATCTGTTTCAATATTTGTGATACTTGAACATGTAAATCCTTACAGCAGTAAAAAATAGAGATCAATATTAATATCTGTATCTATATTAAGCTATAATATTAGGCACACCAGTTGGTTGTAACTACTTGAAGTGCACTTTTGTGATTTAATGTAAGGAAAGTGGGAAAATTACAGTAACTGGTCAACAAGACAAAAACTACTCAAACCCAAAAGAAACACAAGAGGTGATTACTGGCGATTTTTTCTTCGTGGAGAAAGGGAAGGAGACCGTGCAATTACCTGTTACCATGGTTCCCCATTTCTGGCTTTTCACATTCCATTTATCATAAAACTTGCCACATTTCATGTTTTGTACATGAGCATGACTTTAGCATTCTTCACGTGAATATTTACAGCAAGTTTTTCTATCAGAGGTACCGAGTGATTCAATCTATTATAAGCTTCCATGTTTTTGTTAAATGTTTTGTTATATGCTATTATGACTAGCAACCCAAACTTGCCACCATGTTTAATTACATGAAAGACATTAAAATGACGAATAATGCATACACAGAGGCCACTGCGACAAATAATACCTTCAAAACAAATGGTGATTTCGCTATTAGTGCACGGTCCAGGGCCGTAGCCTGAGCAAAATGCCAGGGGGGGCAGTAAGCGGACACGAGAGGGGGCGAAGCCCTCGAGGGGGGAGGGTGTGGGAGGGGGTCTCCCCCTCCAACGGTGTGGAAAAGTTTTAAAAAACTGTGCGTATAATACTGCATTCTGGTGCATTTTAACTGCTATTTATTGCTCAATCAGAAGTCAGAAATTGTGGGTTCATTTTGTCATAAGTACAGCCTGGGGGATAGCTCCCTAAGGGAGGGTGAGCTTTTTGGCATGAACTGAGTTGGCTAAAAACAGTACACCTTTGTAAACAGATTGTTGAATGATTGTCTAGTGGCCATGAGTGCATTTCCTCACAGAATTGATACCAACTTCGCAATTATTTTGTTTTACCTTTGCGATTATTTTTTTTT